ACTATTTTTTAAAACGCGTTGCTTGAATAAAACTAACCAGACACATTCAATTTACCAGACTATTGGACAACTAGGAAAAGTGAAAAAAATACTTCTTATCGCCAGCATAAATGCGTAATTATTTTTTTTACAGAAAATGTAATTTTTCACCTTTGATTGAGTAACGAGTCGTAGATTGCAGATACGGGCATGCAAAATACACTTGTGAAAAGCTTGAAGTCTGGCGATTCTAAAAATATATACTTTGCCGGGTCTATTTGTAGTCATTTAGTCACAATTAGAAGATGAAAACAAGTATGCAAATAATAGTCCCGCTACCTTAAGGCAATTGAAATGCATAGTATAATATGATGTGTCTTACTTGTATTGAATCATCACTGTCTGTACTATGAGTATTTATATGAGTATTACCGTATACCATCGACGTAATCGACGCACTCACATGGCGTTCTAAATTCATGAGCACAGCAACAGACGATAGGAGGAGTAACAACAGTATCCATTTTCTATATTTCCAGCACAAAAACATTTCAATTAATGAGATAGCAGATATCACGTGGATGGTTTGGTCACATGGGATGGCCTGGACACAGCGTGTGGAATCTCAATATGCTACTGTACGTTAATTAATACGACGGCTGCATCAGATAAAGCAAATCAGATTTGGTTATAATTAATATAAATTTGTGGCGTGGTATTATAAGACCATCCAGAAAATACCGCGAAGTATGCACGAAGGCAGTACGATAATTTTATATCGACCAGCACGTAGGAGAGATTGATGTGTTCTCGTACTATTCAGCCTAAGCGCGTATTTTGCCGTATTCTGTGATTGGATTCTATTTCCGTCATGCGCTATGACACTTCTGCATCCGAAAGTTTATTTAAGCGACACACAATTACCAAATATGGAAGACATGCGAACGCGTCAGTGACACGCCCTTATCGCGTTTTTGCGGACGGATGAAATCTATTGATTTCGGTGACAAATAATAAATCTTAGAAGGTCTCTGGTCAAATGTATAATAAATTAATTTATTTATTTATTTACAACTGTATTTTAATATATTCTTAAATTAAATTAATTTAATTTTAAAATGAAATTGTCCATGTGTAATATTCCCTTGTTGTATATGGTAAATAAAGTTATATTGATTGATTTATTGATTAAATTCATTTGCGGCATTTTGTTCTAAATCTGAATTTAGATTGAGGTCAAAATCGTATTAATACAATCGCCGGGTTAGAGGCGATGCCGTTTATGCAATGGCGTGAATTAAAATCGACATGATCGTCTGTCTACATCAGATTTAGAGTGAGTGAGTTAGCGTGCGACTCGGTGAGCTCAATACATTGTCTTCTATCAGTGTTCTGTGGTCCACCGTCACGGTCTGTGTGATGATTTTTTTTATACATTTTCGCTTTGCACGTTGCTTAGCATATTCACAGTCAAAGCATGTAATAATACTAGTAGTATACAAGGCCGAGTTGGACAAGTAAAAAAACTGTTAGGAGTTAGGGTTGGGTAACCTATCTGGTACAACCAATACAATGTGAACATTGCGTGCAGTACAGAGGTAGATATACGCAAATAAGAATTTCAAAATATTGCCGTTTTCATGACAAGCATGTTTGTTATAAATCAGGACATACGAACAACTCACGCTATCGCTTATCATTAAGCATATATTAGTGTAAAATAATTCAACTACACTTCATTTCACGGCAGCGCATATTGCACGGTGATTATCTCCGGTCACTCACATCGCTCCTAACGGCCTCTGATCTACACCCGCTACTGTGAGGGCGCATTTACAAACAGAGGTAAAGATACGTTTTCGAAAAGTATGATTTTAGATTGTTAATGCGTGTTTCCGTTTACATTCGAGGACCTGTACTATAAAATGTGTCGCTTGTAAGATGTTTTTATTCGGCAGAACTTGGGTAGGCTAACTAGCAGTACATATTTTGGCCAACCACGTCATACTATTTGTATATTCCGGGGTAAAATCTGAAATTAATGACCGAATTTATGAATATAAATTGAAACATACGTAACAGTGGGGAAGGTCTATACAATCACAGTTCCTTCTATGATAGAGGAATGTATATACAAATCAAACGTCTATAAAATCACAGTCCTTCTTTGACTGAGGACGTCTACAGAATCACAATTTTAAAACAATATTCATCACTGGGACGGAGTTCACAATGCCCAGAGCAAAGCATGGAAATGCTGATGAACACTGGTGGCGTTCTATTTATCCCAAGATTCAATTTTCCAAAATGGCGAATGCCGTCGAGGGCGAAGATGTTTTGGAAGGAAGTGAGCCGGGTGCCAGGTGAGAATTCGCCATCTATGCATGAATATTTGCCAACGACGTTGCCTTTTGTCATTCTAGCCACAATGATTGAACCCCGCTAATATCGGCGATGTTGGCGCCATTGTGTGGTTAATTCATCAACATTTCTAGAAATTCAGCTGTGCGATATGCCTCGACACAAAATTATTAAATATAAACAATACAGATAGTTTAATCATAAAAATAGACACGTAATTTTATATTTACCGATCTCCGATCTCTATGACAATAGTTTTAAATGGTAAAGTATTCGTAATGTTGAACAAACGGTCGTTTTTTAGCACGACCCCCAATTCCTCACTGGGGACCATGTATCCTGACCATTTACACTCGAGTGCTGAAAATCCAAATGAATCGATCAGTACAGTTTTTCCTGTTGTTTCCATCGCTATTACTATAATAATACTAATGTAATCTTTAAATCGTCCTTTTTAATGATTCTTTTCTTACCTTAAATTGTAAAAAATAAAAATCTGTGTTGCGTCGAGGAATATATTTAATAACCATTCGTTCCAACTGGCAAATTAATTTCGTTCAAAAGCTAGACAGTCGAAGTGTGGTCATTTTGGAGGGGATGCACACTTAGAAAATAGAAATGTTCCAGAAGTAGTGCGTGGGCGCTTAGTCGAACATGAGCAAACATATTCATTTAAAATACAGAATTCAGAAGATATTATGTCATAAAGGTCCACCCAAGTAACATATGTACCTACTACAAAGGCGATAGAGTTCTCAAGAAGAAGTCACTAAAAAAATTGCTTGACTGAGTGACAATCACCTATAGCAACAGCTCTGCATTTGATGACATGGGAGCTAAAAATGCTAAAAACTATTACGAGACAGTGACATTAATAAACGATTTTTGATGACTTATTACTCTACCTTTAGTATACTTATGAGGAAGATATACCAGTAAAAGTACAGATATAGATGTACAAATTGACAAACATACATTTCTTGTCTCGCTGACAGATTCTTTTACTATAATTTCATAGAATCCAAACCAGACCTGGTTCCTTCTCTCAAGATAACTCTAGCTACTCTATTTCTACACTTACATGTAATTATTTTTATTATTTCAAGTCAATATCCTGTCCTGCAAGCTTCCAATTCCTTTGAAGATTTGAGTTTCACTCTTGAAGAGGAGTTATCAAATCGTCCGAGGCATCCCAGCGGAACCATCAGTGAGATCCACCATGATGAGGAGTTTACAGTAAGAAGAAGCCGTTCTAGCGGACCAATTAGTGAGGAACACGACAAAGAGAGGAAAAGTTTGTCAGCAGAAGGCATCAGTGAGGAGCAAGAAGCAGAAACTGTTGTTGAAGGTGTAAATAAATTGTCAGTTGAGGACCTTAATAATGAAGTTTTTACAAATGAGACAGAGTCGGGGCAAAATGAAGAAGAGGAAGTTGCAACTCGTATTCGATCTGGAACCATACTTGAAAAAATAGACAGTACGAACAGAGAACATCCAGATGAAGGTTTGTATTATAAAACACTTTGATATAATGATATTATTCACTGGCGAATCCCTAATCTACTAATCCTTTACCTTCATCAATGGCTGTACTTCCACTTACCGATACCCTTCACCAGTTGCCAATAACAAATTTCAATAAATTGTATTCATAAGTTAAGAATCAGTTCTTTGCATATATCAGCAGTTATGTCTACCGTAAAAACTCTAAAGTTACGCCTACTCTAAAATTTTGTCCTCCTAGTTATTTTTTTTTAATTTTGTTGACCTCCGAAATTTCGATCACACCAGAAATTGTTCTCTTATGGTCCAACTTTGTTTTACCAGTGATGAAAATTACATCGTTTTTTCCCGGAATGAAGTTCAAACCAGGCCTGACAATTCTGTGCACAAGACATCAACTTACCAATCACAGCACCACCCATATTTAAAAATCAACTTTGTATTGTTGATCGCACAACTCCCTTCACTGCTCTCTCATTTTTTAAATGTTTGTTTCTTTTACACGTATTTAAAAATTGCAGTGTTGATTGTTTCTGAAGTTTCGTAATTATTATTATTACTCAGTATGGATTATACTAACGTATAAAAAAAATAGTTGAATTGTCATGAAAAGTAAAATTGAACTTAGTTTCATTTTAAGCAAATATTTTCTATCGCATACAATTACTCGACACAGTGTGATATTTGCCACGTTTTTTCTCATACATGAGTTGACCTGAAACTGTGTTCTTTACCTGATAGGTCAAGTTGCTGTTTAACCAATCAGAATGCTGGATAGTGTGTTCAAATTTGTGATGAAACTGTGTATAACCCAACTTTTATATTTGTTGAATTTTTGAATTTTGATAATTCACCCTTATTTTGTATTTTAAAAACCTGACTGTTTTCAAAACTAATTATTTCAAAATGAGCGAAATTTTACTGTATGTTCTTGAGAGCTAAACTTATCTCTGTTAACTCTGTTTTTTTTTATCTCTTCAACAGATGTTCATAGTCGCAGTGGAGAAACCATAAAAAACATATTTTCATTTTGAGTGAAGCAGGAAACCAATTTATACAAGG